CAAACCATTCCACAATTCTCTGACCTTGCCAGGATGAGCTGAAGCTTGACAGAGCCCAGAGACCAAGAAAATGTCTGCAACCACCTTTATGCTCTTATCCATAAGAAGATGCAACAACCTGTGCCAAGCAAGACTCACAGATGAGTCCAATCTGTCACAAACTTACTGATTCTATCCTGAATGTCAGCATGTGTCAAAAATGCTTCTACAAATCCAGCAAAGCACCTCAGACTGAGCCTGAGAGCCCTGAAGAGCTCGTGGCTTCAGTCTTGGAAAGGGATGCCTCTCTTCCCAAAAGCGCCCCAAACTGACAATACTTCACCCCAAACTGACAATACTTCACCCTAGGCTTCCATCAGTTTTAGGGTGGCAAAATAAACAGATTAATTGATTTTACTGCTCCCAAATAAATCTGCTGGTAATGATGTAAATTTCCTGGAGAAGGGCGAGGAAGATGGAATTCCCTTCAATCCCAGTAAAGAATATAGTAATCTATATATGCATGCCCAAGGAAAAGAGGTGCTCAGTGAAGTTAGTATTTTACCAAAAAACAAGTAAGAGCAACAACGCAAAAGCTGCACTTTCAGTCTCTTCCAGGACTGTTGAGTTGTCTCACCCTGAAGCAGTTCAGATCTCAAACTCATCTTCCCCACTTGGAAAATGCTTTGGAACTCCTTTGTGGCCATAGGAATTCTCTGCCTTGCACCATCTTAACCAAGATTTTGTATCAGTTCCATCAGAAAAGCAGGTTTGTTCTCTCACACTGTACAGATGTAGAGCTGAGCCCTTTCTCAGGTGCAAGAAAAAAATCCTACATATTTCGGTGATGTGCACCTTTAAAAAAAATTAATGTCGGTGGGAAAAGTGAGGTGAAAGGTAATAGTCTTTTTTTTTTTTTTTTCTCAAATCAGGAGAAATCAACACTTCTTTTAGTAACTCTCATCAGTGCTAAAATCTCATCAGTGCTAAAAGCCCCAAAAATATCCTTCTTATAACTCCTCCTTAAACAGGCAAATTCTTCTGCTATTGATTAGTGAAGGATGCAAAAATCCTTCATGGAGTGAAGACTCATGGGCTACATCCCAGACACACCTGAAAATGGTAAAAAACTGTGATTGTGACTCAATGCTCTTATTCCTCTTGACCTTGCAGTGACACAAGACCAAATGTCCAATAAAGTGACAAACTCCTCTCTGACGTGAGCAGTGCAGAAGCCTGGTTTGGAAAGCCTGGATCACTTCTGCAGCCACCCAGCCTCCAAGAAAAGGACATCAAGGACCTTTCACTGCCACTTCAAGCTCAGTTTGATGGCTTACAGGTAGTCAGCAAATGCCTCTCGCAGCCTGCATGGCCACTTTGCTTTTCTTGAGATCACAATAAGACAGAGTCAGGTTGTCTGAAAATGAAAGACTTTTAAATTTTTTTTTTCCTTCTTCTTCTAACACATCTCTCAGAGAGCATTGTCCAGGTTACAGGGAGGCTTTCATTTCCAGCCACTTTGTGGAAAATGTTGGGAGACCAAAGAGCTGCACCACTCAAAAGAAAGGAGACTGGTTTTCACTGTCTCTTGGAGACGGTGCTCTACCTGGGTGTTTAATTTAGTTTGCCTAAATTAAAAACTCATTACCTTCAGTGCCTAATGTTGGAGAACCCCTTCATCCCACACACTCTGGCTAAGGAGGCAGATAAACGCCTTGGAAGCCTGGATTATTAAACCAAAGATCAGAGAGAAAACAAATCAGTCGATTTTTCCTGCATCACTGGAGAAAGCCTCAGCTTTGCCTCCTGGCCTTAGCTCCTCGCCCCAGCTCCATGCACCTTTTTTCCCTTTGCTCCCACTCCCTTCCCAATTAATCCAGAGTCAGTTGCATTCAGCCAAGAGCTTTGTATGGGCATTTACATTTCAGTTGCCAGCACATCCAGCTCCAAGCATGCAGCCCACAAATATTTGTGCTGGCTCTGGGAAGAGCTTCGACCAGGATTATTCACTTTGGGTCTGATACATACCCTGCTCACAGCAGCAGCCAAGTGTGTCTCACTGACTAGAGCTGGCACTCTGTGTGGGATGAACTCTCCCAAATTAACTTGCCACAGATACAATCCTTATCCTGAAAGACTCAGCTCTCAAAAGCAGAGACACCATTTCAGAAAGGGAATAGACCAATTTGACAGTAAGAATCCTGCCCTCATCTGATGTCTTTGTGAGTCCTGTGCTTAAGAGGCAGAAAGTCTGCCTGAATTTCGCACAGAAACAGGTAACTTTGGGGTTTTTTTTCTGTTTTATCAGGACCCTGCAGCTAGGTAAGCAAAAACTTCTGCAGTTTACAGTCCAAAGTAGCTGAATGTCCTGTGTGGCAGAACAACCCACCATTAATCCCTATTCCCAAACACTCTGCCTTCCTTCATCTGCCTAATTTTAGGCAGCCTCATTTTAGGCAGAGTGACAGCCACTTAACAAGGAAGCAGAAATTGTGGCAATTTTACTACTTAGATACCCAAAACCAGGATCATTATCCTAACAGCCAGGGCCATAAACCTGCCAAATGTTCCCTCACTGCTCCCATCTTCGAAGCCAGAGGGTGTTCAAGGAGAGACATGCATCAGCCTCTGAAGGAAAGGGGTCAAGTGGCAGAGGAGGAAGATTAAGCCATGATTTGCAGCCGTGGAAGCAGAAAGCACTGCCCCAAAGGTCTCACCTGAAGAGCTGACCCTCCTGAGCAGAGATCTATGCAGCCCTGCCAGCTCTAGTGATTCATGGCACGCTGCTTTTTGCTGGTGCAGCTCTCAGGAGAGACAAGCAGAAGTTCTTGTAGAGCACTCGAGGCTGTTTGCCTGGCGATGAGAAAGGGGGGCAGTGGAAGGACACGTCAGTGTTAGGGCAGGATGACAGACAGGGAGGATTGAAGGGAAGGGAGCTGCTGGTCCCCCTCAGCAAAGCACCCTGGTACTGCTCTGTATGGAGATACAAGAAGCCAAATGGGAGAAATGGGAGGGCCATTGGGCCATGGGGAGAGGGGATGAACCAGGAGACAGCTGGAGGAATTCTGGGGCTGATGACAGGGGTAGGGAAGCACGGTTAAAATTTTAAAAACCTGCATTTAACTATCTGGACAATTAACAATAATTCCGAGATCAAAAAATAATTAGTGCAATTAGTGCCTTATGCATCTATTTATATAACTGCTCAGGAAAGAGGAAAATTATCTAGCCATGTTTCTGGAGTGCTCTGAAGAGTCAAGGAATTGATTCTTTAATTAATTTTTTTAAAAAAAGAATAATTTAGGAGAGCAAACACAATATCTGCATGACACAGAGTCTTTTCTGGGTTAAGGATCTCCAGCAGTTATTAAGGTGCTTCATGCTGCAAATAATTTTGTACATGTAAACATCTTTCCTGATTCCATCGATGTCCACAGGCTGACTTTTTACTCTTACATCCTCTCCAATCTCCTAAATTTACTTTCAAATCTTCTGACAATTACTATTTTTAATCCTCTTGTTTGCAAAACAGGGTATCTGTGAATTAGGGCAGATCTGATGCCCTGATGAAAGCAATGAATTGGAGAGGAAAGGAGAGACATTGCAAACAGGTCTGAGAGTTTATATTGCATAAAGAAGGTCAGTCAAGTCCATCAGGCAAATAAAGAAATAAACATCAAATTCTCATCTTTCTTCAAGCCAAATTTCAGCAGGAAGAGTAGTCACACACATTAAATCAGAGACATACCCTAAACAGTTGATTTTTGCCTGCAAGGTGCTTGAAGGGAGGCACCTTTAATAAATTGTGCTACATTTGGAGAAGTCATTTGAATTCTGTAATTAGCAGACATACAAGGAGAGCTAACTGCACATGTTTGTGTATACACAGCTCTGGAAGAGGGAGTTTAATGAACTGTGTCTCCTGCAACTGCAAATCAAGTTTCATTTTGTCAGTGCTGCACCACGTGATGCTGTGATGCAGCTTCCAACACCACAACATGCTTTTCCTCCTACAAAATATCCTCTCCCTCTTTTATTTTTTCATAGAATCATGGAATGGTTTGGGTTGGAAGGGTCCTTAAAGATCACTTGGTTCCAATTCCCCTGCCATGGCCATTTTCCACTGTCCCAGGTTGCTCCAAGCCCCATCCAACCTGGCCTTGGGCACTTCCAGGGATGGGGCAGACACAGCTTCTCTGGGAAATCTGTGCCAGGGGCTCACTACCCTTATAGGGAAGAATTTCTTCCTAATATCCAGTCTGCATCTATTTTCTTTCAGTTTGAAGCCATTCCCCCTTGTCCTGTCACTACATGCTTCTGTCACAGGTCTCTTTTTTCTCTTTCCTCTTGGGTCTATGGACCTAGGCCAAGGTAGAACTAGGGCATAAAAGAAAAGGAACAAGAAAAAGCTACAGAAACATCTGTTTTGGTTTAACTCCAGCCAGCAGCTGACCTCCCACAGCTGCTCATTCACTCCTTTTTTGCTGGTGAGTGGGGTGAGAAGCTGGAAGGGCCTTGCCTCTGTGTAAGAACTGCTCAGCAGTGAATAAAATATCCCTGGATTATCAACACTGCTTTCATTACAAATCCAAAACACAGCCTCACACTGGCTACTGTGAAGAAAATTATCTCCATCCCAGCCAAAACCAGCACAGTTTCCTACTCCATCTTCACTTTAAAAATAAATAACCACCACCCCCAACATCAAAAAAATAACAAACAAGAGAAAAATAACACATCCAAGAGCCACAGAATGCCCTCTTTCACCGTGTGTCATCTTTTCTGTCTTATCTCCATGCCATTATCTGCCACCTGAAACCAGCACAAGCAAAGCTTTATACGATCAATACACATCCTAGCACCATTAATCACCAACACAAATGGAAAAAAACCGAAGTAATCCTGACAAAAAGGTGTCCAGCTATAATAAAAGGATGGAAGAAAGGGTGAGGATAGATGAGGGGGAAAAAATGAAAAGGCTGGGACAAAGAAAGATCTGCAACAATTTAAAATAAACTCACAGTCCATCCTGCAGCTCTTGAGTATCGTTCGAGGTCCCCAGGGATCGAAGACTTCTTTCCAGAGAGGTCACTGTCAACAGCAGAGAAAGAAAAGATAAAGAAGCAGCACACTTTTCAGAGAAAGAAAAAAAAAAAAAACCAAAAAAACCCCAAAACAAAAAAAAAAAAAAAAAACCACAAAAAAAAAAAAAAAAACAACCAAAAACAAAACAAAAAAAAAAAACCTGGATCTTTGTTCAGATGTTTGTGTTTTAATTTAATTTTACTTTTTTTTAAAAATGCAATTAAGTATTTGAACAAGTATGTTATGAGAGAAAGGGAACAACATCTACCAGTAGCCACTGCCACAGAATGATAAATTGAACAGGGTCCTTTGGAAGCTTAAATGTGAATCCATGTATAGCATGCCATGACATGATGGAATACGACCCCTTGTCAGGAAAACCTCAGTTCCATGGACCTTGCACAGATCTCTGACTCTTCCAGCCTTGAGGTGACACGGAATTGTGCACTGAGCATTTCCAGCTGGAAATGTGCCCCTGGTGAAGAGGCAAGAAATTGCATAATAACTGTTTATTGCTCTGAATGATAATTAAGAGGCAGAACACTGATGTCTGCTGTATCTTCCATCTTCTCGTTCAAGATGCTTAAACTCAAAATGTTTTCTATCTTTTGGCTCAGAAAAAATGAGGATGTGATCATCTCCTGTGTTTGTGCTCCACAACTTCTTGGGCTTTTCCATCAGAAGAGAATACCCTAAAAGCAGTTGGAAGGTGGAAACATGGTTTGCTTTGTAATTTACAATTACTTAATATTTAAGAAATATCAATATATATGTGTGTGTATATAAAAGCAGAAGTCTAGGAATACTGTTGCCTTTTCCCACCCTTTAATTTCACTGTCTCAATTAATTTTCAAATTAACAACAGGTCGCTACTTTTGAACTTAGCACAGCCAGCAGCAAAGCACTTCAAGTTTTTCCACAATGGAACAAGTTAAATAAATTACATTCTTGATATTTACATGTGGGATTTCTTTCAGGACATTTCCAGTTGTAAAAACCCATAACCCGTTATCAGTCATGCTTCAATATTTAAGGATAGAAAGAAGAACAGATTAAAAACATGGCTCAATTATTTCTGCAGAAATTTAAGAAATCCTCTGTTTTAATGACTCTGCAGACTTGGACTTGGCCTGTAATTTTGAACAAGTCACTTAATTATATTTCCACTCTCAGACAAAATCCTCTCTTCTCTTTTGGGCTCTGCTGGCTTGACACCAAAAGTCACTAAACTGCATAAAAAGTAACTAATGTGCCTGAACTACATGAATATTCAAAAAAACTTTGAATACCACCATGTATTTCCATCAATGCTAGTTCTCAATAACAGATTTTACTACAGAATGTGGAGATTCGGTAAGATGAAGCCTCAAGGAATTGTCTGTAACCGAGCTAATAATTATTTTTCTTTGCTGGAAGCACAGTGTTCTAAAGAATAAATTGGAAGTGTTCACTAATAACCATTTGCTGCTGTAGAAGGACATCACTGACCCTGCAGAGATCTCATGAATACTATAATTCCCTCTTTCCCTCTCCACAATCCTAACAAATCAATTTCCCTTGGAATCCACATGCTGTTCAGTTCAAATACAAATTTTCGCATCTACTAAAAATATTTTTGGGCCCATCAACCCTTTGGAACAAAGCAGAGTGTGGTCCTTGGAGAATGGACTGCAAGCCAAGGTAAAGCAAGGACTTGAGTGGACACTGAATTTGTAAGAACAAGTTAATGTCATGTGTGCAATTCCAGAACAAAACCAGCAGCTACAGCCTCCGTGAACCTTTCTAAACTGACCTGTGAAAATAAGGACAATTCAAAGTGAGTTTTACTGCTTTGGAGAAGACTGGAGTGGAAAGCAGTTTTGATACTGAACAAAACACTTCAAGACTTCACACTCAAGCCATTTTACACTGAGGCAAACCCAGGAGCTGTCAGATTTATTCAGCATTTTGGAAAACCTACAAAAAGGTGAAAAGAATATCAGACATCTATGTGAGAGGTAAGGAAAGCATTCATCATTTAGATGAGAAAGTGATCTGCAATTAAGTTCTTATCCAATAATTTTACCTAATATTCCAATTCAAACATAGTATTTAGACAACTAAATAAATGTCAGTTGTTCCAAAAGGACAAGATATGCACCCTGGAGGAGCCAAAGATTGCCATTTGATATAGCTCTTATGTGGAAAACAGCAAGACTAAGACTCCAACATGACTTTCCTAAATCTCAGGAAAGCCAAAAGAACCCTGGGCTGCATCAAAAGAGGAGTGGCCAGAAGCTCAGTGGAGGTGATTCTCCCCCTCTACTCTCCTCCCATGAGACCCCACCTGGACTGCATCCAGCTCTGGGGCCCCTATCCAAGAAGAATGTTGACCTGTAGAAGAAAATCCAGGTGGCCATGGAGATGATCACAGGGCTGGAGCACCTCTGCTCTGAAGCCAGCCTGGGACAGCTGGGATTAATCAGCCTGGAGAAAGAAGGCTCCAGAGAGAACTTAGAGCATCTTCCAGTATCTAAAGGGGCTCCAAGAGAGCTGGAGAGGAACTCTGGACAAAGGCATGAAGTGATAGGACAAGAGGGAGAGGATTTACAGGTTCAGATTGGATATTAGGAAGAAATTCGTCCCTGTGAGGGTGGCACAAGTTTTCCAGAGCAGCTGTGGCTGCCCCATCCCTAGGAGTGTCCAAGACGAGGTTGGATGGGGATTGGAGCAACCTGACCTAGTGGAAGGAGTCCCTGTCCATGGCAGGGGGCTGGAACCAAGTGATCTTTAAGGACCTTTCCAACCCAAACCATTCCATGAATCTATAATTAAATCTGAGCTACTGTGGGCTAAATCTAACTGGCTTTGACCAAGAATTAATTTATCAAAATCTCTGCAGCTCCTGTGCTGGATGTGGAAAATCTCTCTCAATGTATCAGTTCTGGTCATGTGAGCAATAATTTGACCAGAGGAGCAAAACTTCAAGCTCTGCTGGAGGGATGTGTAAAGCCATTCTTAAAACAGGAACCTTATTTTAAAAGTCTTGTTCTTTTTGTTATTAAAAGGCATGCCCTAGCCCTCCAGAATGAGGCACATTCACAAGGCATCAGTGACATTGGAGCTGCACTGATCCACTACACAGAGAGCTTGGCCCCCAGTTGCCTGCGCCATTGCAAGCCTTAAATCAATGGGGGATAAGAAACCATCCTGAGATGGTAATGGAGACTCCATCACACACAAGGGATACAGGAAAATCCTTTGCTCAGCCTTTGAGATCGAGGTAATAGGACTGCACTTGGCACCAACCAGTTATGGGCAGCCATGAATGAGTGAGGAGCAGGAATTAGAGAGGCAAGAGACTCAATGGAGAGTTCAGGTTGTCCATCTGGCCAGCACAGGCCTGATTCCTCCAGTATATCCTCCACTGATCAGACAAGATGTACCAGAGCAACTCCATTTAAGAGTGTTATTTATTGTACTTATTTATAAGCTACTTACTAAGAGGCAGCTAAAAGCTGCATATGAAAAAAAAATGCAAGGTCTTGATAAAAGTATAGATAAAGGAGAAAAAAAAAGAAAAGAAGCCATAAATGAGACAAATTCAGGCAGTATTTGAGCTCCTATTTGTGTCCTGGTAGGAAAATCAACTAAATTTAAAAACCCAAAACATGAAAGTTGCAAAAGTCAAGGCACTATGTGACAATCTGGTCTATTGGAAGGTGTCCCTGCCCATGGCAGGGAGTTGGAACAAGATGACCTTTAAGGTCCCTTCCAGCTCAAACCATTCTATGACTCTACGATTCTATGAACCTTCCTTATTTTCATCACGGACAGCCCAAAAAGATTAAGAGAAAGAAAGCAGGTGCAAAGATTAGGAAAAATCTCCCTCTACCCTTTCATACTTCTATAATAGATGGCATTAAAACAAGTCTATAAGCTCACGACCTGGCAGGAGAGTGATCCAGTAGCACATAAAAAGAACCAGCTGTCCTGGCTAAAATTTTTATTCAACAAATGAGGAAGATTTCCATTTTCATGGCAGAAAAAGGGAGCAGGAAGCATTTATAGGTGAGAATAATCACAATCAACTCAGAGCTATAAAATCCCCCTTGGTCAGGAAGCAAGTCCTGAAATGCCCAAGAAGAATTTAAATCACCCCAAAGGCTCAGAGTTCTGTAAAAAGAATAAGGACAGCAAAGAGGGACAAAGCACAGAGTGTTTATTACTTCTGCAGTGTTACTCAATAAAATTCAATGGTGCTTTAAAATCCTGGTACAATGTTGACTCCTTGTTTCATTAAAAATACTCATTCCCCAAAGACATAAAAGGTATTGCTGAGATTGCCCTCAACCTGGGATTTTTAGAATCTAAACAACAAAATCATAACATGGCCAACTCCTGACAGCTTGAACAGCCCAGCCAGGGGTTGTTGAAGGGGTGAAGTGACAATTCCTGAGAGTTCAAAATAAACCAAGGCACTTCCCCAGGTTTAGTGGCCTTGATACATTCAGTCAAAGCTTGGACTTGGATATTTTGGAGATCTTTTCCAACCTTAATGATTGTATGACCCCATGATTCTATCATCTTCAGCACCCCAAAAGGGACAAGAACATTTCAGGTGCACAGTTAGATCTCCAAGCACAATGGGGGACCTCAAAAACCTCAGAGAGCTTCAGTAAGCCAGGAAAAGGAGGGACAGAGGAGCTGTGATAGGATTTATGCAATTTGTAGGATGTTCAACACCCTGTGCCCAGCACAAGAGGAGTAACCCCATCATCTGGTGAGCATCTGGAACACAGCTGCCTGTTCGTTGCTCAGCCACTTGCATGATGCTACACAAACAACATCACTGATGAGTTTCCTGAAGAGACTTTATGCTACAGAAAGAATCATGGGCATTCTTCCCCATTTTCTAGCCCTAAAAAGTTCTTTACTTAAAGTGAATTAGATCTGCCAAATCTCAGCACTACACTCAGCAGCCTTCTCCTGAAAATCTCTAACCACTTTTTGGGGGAAAGACTATAAAAAATAAACTGAATGAAACTGATTTTGTCAGGCAAAAAATAATATGGGCAGTGAACAGAACAACAACAGTAGAGTATCTTATGGGCATTTCTTCAACCTGAAAGCACTTTAAAAGGCATTATAGATTCATTGATTCATAGATTTTAAAAGACAGAGAGAGCAATTCTGACTATCCAACCTGATTTCCTCCCATAAAATTTTGTCCCATGATTCCCACATCAAGACTGGGGACTGCAGCTGGACTAAAGTATATCTTATAAAAAAGATATTTGAATCTTGATTTAAAGTTTCATGGCAAAGCCAAATCCATCAAGCCTCCTGCATAAGCAGTTCTAATGGCTGGTTACCCTCATACAGAAGGATTGAATTTGTCTAGCTTTAACTTTTATCTCCTGATCTCCTTCTATATGAGAACAATAGATTAATAAGCCCCTTGCTATCTGTTTGATGTATTTCTTCCTAGAGAAGTACTTACACACCATGATTGAGTCCTCTTGGATGTCTCAAACAGAAATTTGGATGGCACAAATTTTACAGTCTGACTTTCAGACATGGAACAGTTTTGGCTTTTCTCTGCACCCTCTCCATTTTTGCAAAATAGTTTTAAGTGCAGGCATTGTCATTATCTGCTTCACAGAGCACTCAATTCAGGCAACTCTTAAGAGGAAACACATCATCACCATCTCAAGAGGAGAAATAACAGCAACAGTGGTTGTCAAACACCAATTGAAGGGGTTAAGGCAATTCTAACAAAGAATGAAAACAGAAATTGGGTTGTGGTACTTCGAAAGAGATGCACCATTCACCTTTAAGTTTTCTTAGGATAAAACTCCACTGTGGAGGCAGTTGTGATTGAAGCAGAGGGGCACATCAAGTCAGCCCTAATCTGGCCAGTTTGGACAGGAACAGCACACACAGACTCATGAGAAGGTTGCATCACTTCAGTCTGAAGAAGTTTGGAAGCAGAAGTGCTACTTCCACTTATCACTGGCATTGTCAAATCAAAACTATTGTTGCTGGAGCTGCCAAAATCGGTGCTAATGCAGGTATTTGTATGTGTTATGGTGTGGTTGTTCACCCACCTGTAAGCCAAGTATCATAGCTGGGATGTTCAAGCTCCCACAGTGGCCAAAATCCCTTTTTTACATGGGATGTGTGTCACCAGTTCAAGGGTCACCAATTCCTTGTAAGTATAGAAAAATTGGTGCTTGAATTTTCCTGGCAGATGGAGCATACACAACTCATCAAAAGTAGAGACAACTACATTTTAGAAGTTTTTAATTCCCATCCTTGTTCTAACAAGGATCCCTTGCTACAAACAACCACGGCCCCACACATGGAAGACACTGGGGAAGAATGACACAAATAAAGAGGCATTAAAGTCCTTTCCCCACACCTAGGCCAGGCCTCTCTGTCACACAAGACACAGAAAGAACAGACACAGAAGCTGTCCAGATGATTCCAAAGCAATTTTAAGGTCTATTGTAAAATCATCACTGATAATTTCTACCAGTCTGACACTGGTATGTTTTAGAACTGAGGTACAATGGCATTACCTTCCACTCAGCAATTTTAGTTTACATCTGTCTGCAAGATAAATTCCTCCAGCCTAACCCAACAAAACTGATGAGCCAGAGCTTGTTTAAAAGGAGGGAGGACTCTGCATCACTAGGGGCTGGGGAGATACCCCTGCCCAACCTAGAGAGTGAGGAACAGCAGAATTTTGGTGTTTTTCTAAAGGAGATAGATGTTTTGCCATCTCATGTGACAGGCTCTGAACACAGCAGCATTGCAACATATTTGAAAATGAGCCTGGCTTGTTCCACCTTTCTGAGCTTTAGCTCTCTATTGTAACAGATGACACAATTAAAAATAGAAAAAGGATGTGGTCTCAGCAAGGATTGGAATGTATCTGTGCCTGTTGGATGGAACATATGGTGTAATATTTTTACATCTTTTAAGGAGCTGTGTATTGGACATGTGCTGCTGCTCGTGAGATGCAGCAGCAGAAAAGCTGCATTAATATTTGCTCCCTGACAAGAGGAGCTGCCAGGGGCCGTGGCCATGCACAGGAATCATCAGCAGGACAGCAGAGAACACACCAGGAAACCTCTCATTTACACACCATTGGAGTTAATTCGGAAGACGTTGGCTGAAGTCTCCTGAAAAAGTTCCTGCAGCTCGCTGGGATCAATCTGAGTGGCTGTGAAGATAAAAAACAGAAAAAAAAAAAGTGTTAATACTGGACACCACCAATCACTTTGAAAGGGGGATGGTGCTTTGAAAGGGGGTGTAGATTCCTGCTTGCTGCAGAAATTTAGCCCAGGTAGGGTGGTCTGATGCAGCTTTACACAGGGCCTGGTCGTGGAACTTGCACTGGACAGAAAAATCCAGCACCACCAGGACAGTGAAGATGCTGCAACACAGTGGGCACAGCCCACATGGATTGAGTTGGCATTCGTAGGGATTATCAGCAACCAGAATACAAATAATTCCACCTCATTTACCAAGTGGGAGTATCAGAACCACGACTGAATGAGAAACCACAGTGCCGAGTGATGGCCAACCAGCACTTCCCAGAGCAGGAGAGCCCATAGCAGGTCCTGCCTGTGGACAAAGCAGTGAGCAGAGGGCACCTGCTCTGTGGGGTGAAAGCTTCTGGGGCAGGAAGGAGGTGGGAGCTCAGTGGGATCTCCACATGTTCCTCTCCTAACCCCCAAGAGAGGTTCCTCTTCTTCCTATTCCTTCCTGATAGCTCAAATTCAAGGGGCAATGAGTCAGTGCCAGGCATTTCTACTGCTGGTGCACAGAAAAATTCTCACAACTTCATTCCCAAGGTCCTCACTTTAGCCAAGGTACTCAAATCTGCCCTACAAGGAGAACACCAAAGTGAGGGTTTGAACATTTTGGGATTTCAGGTTTGGTGGAAGGTGGCGTGGGACTTTTTTGGGTTTTTTTTTTTGTTTTTGTTTTTTAAATTATTTTTTGTTGCTATTTTGGGGGTTTTGTTTATTTGTTATTTGGGTTTTTAGTTTTTTTTGTTGTTGTTGTTCTGTTTGTTTATTTAGAAATTTTTGTTTGTTTGGGTTTCTTTTTTTTTTTGCTTTGGTTTTTTAGCTTCATTTCCCAACTTTAAAATCCCTGAATCTGTCCCCAGCTTCTCCACAGTTTCATAATCCCCAGAGAAGGAGTCATGTGATGTTAGACTGAGCTATACTAGAGAATCACAGAATATTTTGGGTTGTAAGAGGCCTTAAAGATCATCCAGTTCCATCCCCTGCCATGGGCAGGGACACCTTCCACTGTCCCAGGTTGCTCCAAGCCCCATCCAACCTGGCCTTGGACACTTCCAGGGACAGGGCAGCTACAGCTTCTCTGGAAACCTGTGCCAGGGTCTTCCTACCTTCACAGGGAAAAATTTCTTTCTAATATCCCATCTAAATCTGCTTTCCTTCAGCTTAACACTATTAATTATGCCTGTATTAAGTCCATCTCACACAGTAAGGATACATCACGTAAATAAGCTTTAACCAGGCATTTCAATTTTGGTTGATCACAGTCACCAGAGAAACATTCATTTGTAATGATGTTTTTGTCACCAGTTTTATGGCAGCAGCTTTCCAGCAGACTTTTTTATTCTGCCTCCCACCTGTGTCAGCTTTCGTGGCTTTCCCAGAAGCTGCTTTACCTGAAACTTTGGTCATAACTTGTAGCACCCCAGGGCTTGTCCACCCAACAGAGTCCAACAGCCCTGTTATCACCCAGCTGCTCCTCTGAGGTGAAGCATCTCAGACTCAAACAGGAGCTGAGATTCATTTCTGCAAGTCAGCAGACTGGAGCTCTGACCTGCTCTGGATCCCTTCACCAGATTTCCCTAAGCTGCTGAAGCACCACACACCCAACCTGCTCTTGCCAGAGCAGAAGGACAACGATGGAGCAAGGCAAAAATGAGGAAAATTGGGCAAAATGAGAAGCCTGCTTGATGTGCTGCTCAGGTTAGGGCTGAGGATGCATCTCCCAGTGCTGGAGGAGCAGCTGCACATCTAGAGAGCAGAATTTCCACTGCTTCTCACACGCACTGAGACAGTTCAGCCCTGTAACAGCTGTAAATAAAGTCATGGATCAGCCTGTCAGGATGAACAAATCCAGGGTATTAAATGCTGTTTAATCCAAATGCACAGGGCCTCATTGCTAGAGATTTTCCCACTCTTCTCTTCCTGCAGTTTCTCCTAAATCAGCTGTCCCAGACACTCCTTTCCTTTGTTCCATAGAGGAGGCTAAAGAAGAGCAGAAATTACTGTGGGCTCCCCTGTCCCCCAGGAATTTCACTTGTTACTAACAAAGTCCAGCTCTCATTAAATCACTGGTGAAAGAGCAGCACAGGAAAAGATTTTTAGATCTTTACAGACTGTTATTACCCCAATTTTAGGAGTTTTTTATTGGATTTTCAGGGTGCTAACATGTTCCAGAGAACTCATCTGCACATTTCAGGATAGCACTCATTTTGGATGGGTGGGGTTTTTTTTAAACTTCTTTATTTTATTCTCTCCTTAGAAACACTAAATTTGCCTCAACAGATTTTTATCCTGGCCCAATGATCCTGAATCCACATGCACTGAGGTACTGAACAAAGCCTCAGATGAACCATGAAGAAACCAAACCAAGGGCTGGGAATTCCCTCAAGAGCTCAGTTGGGAACAGCACTGCTTTAAATTCCCAAAAAATCCAGATTGCAGACTCCAGTGTGCTCCCACATGGGGACACTCCTGCACAGACCCCAGCAGGTACCTCTGAGGAGTCATTTCAAGTGCCAAAGTCACACCAAGAGTCAAGATGACATATCCCAAATGTTGCAAAAGGCAGGAGAAGCACCAATTTCACTGAGAAGGAAACACAGAGCAACACTGAGAGTCCAGAGTTATTCCATGAAGTGAAAAACTATCCAAAAACTCAGGTGCTAATTTGGGAGGGTGAGATTTATTTGTATTTATTGGTGGGACACCAGTTTTCTCACCCTGTGCCACAATTTCCTAATGGGAAAGAGACAATGCATGTGGCTCATACTCTGAAATCATGGAAATAATTCCGTTTTTAAGCCTCCACATATTCATTGCTGTCAAAATTATATAAATGGAAAAGGACTGTGAGTCCTTTGGACTGAGAGGACTGTGAGGAAGTTATAAATTCCTCCAAGGCCTCTCAGTCCATACCTATCTAACAGCACCCACAATCACCCTCACACCTAAAAAAAAATGCAAATTAAATCTAAAAAAATCCCACCCAACAAAGAAAATTAAACTTTTGACCAAAATTTCCAAACAATTACTTTGAAATGCAATTCAAGGAGAATGTTTTTTTCTGAGAAAATTGCACTGTATCTGGCATGCAGTTTCCTCCCCCTAGACTTTTTATTTCATGTCACAGCATGCTGCCAGTTCTGGCTTTTATTTTGTTTTTATTTTGCAAAAGAAAAGAAAATAGTAACAAAGAGGCTGTTTTAACTACTCCAATTTCAAGCTTCAACACATCAAGCCAAGATGTTGTAACTATTCATGGAGGATGCAGCAGTTCAAGCAGACAAGCAGAACAATTTAAAACAGCAGCAGAAAGCAAAGCAAAACTGCCTCTGTACTACCAAACCAAAGAAGAAAAACCAAGGCTGAGAAGTAAAGTGGATGTGAAGTCTGATAAAAAAATTAAACATCTTTGATTACATCAAGTGAATACTCAAATATTATGATTCCCCAAGAAGGATTAGGAGGTTTCTGATATGCATTAAATGATGTTATGCATTAAATACATGCTTTGACACTAACAGAGTTTGGGGCCACAGCTGGGAAAAATTACTTTTATTTACACTGTGGGTCCTCAAGGCTGTGAAGGTTTTGCAGTGGATGTGTTACAGAATCCCAGATGCAAATGGTTTCTCCTCTACTTCCTTAACTGGACATTTCCAAAAAAAACATTTGAACTCCTTCTGTTTATTTTTCCAGGAAAATCCCCTTGGATCCCAGGACAACCCAACTTCCTCTGCTATCAGTTCAACCTCCTCCCTGCCTAGCATATACTAATTTCCTGCTATATTTATTGCTGTTATATTTATTTTTTATACCTAGAAATCACAGAATGCTTGGGGTTGGAAGGGACCCTAAATATCATCTGGTCCTGCCACCATGGGCAGGGACACCTTCCACCAGACCAGGTCACTCAAGCCCCACCAACCAATTCCTAAAGCAGCAGCAAATAATGGCATTTCTGACATTTGTCTATTTAATTCTTCTTTCTCTTGCCTGAAAATCTTCCCAGGCACCCAGCTAGGTGAAAGAGATGGAAAAAAAGAGCTTTTCAATACCTGCTCTGCCAAAGCAAAGTGTGTCACTGCATACTCTGCAGGGGGAGACCTCAGCTGTGAGTGGGACCTTGAGGGAATTTGTGACTTGGGTGTGGAGTTTTATCCAGAAATTGCTTCCTCTGGGCAAAAAAATCTGTGAGGCTGCAGCAAGTTTAAATCCAGCCATGCAACATCACCTCACACCCATCTGCTGTGCAGGGGTGGCTTCTTAGACCTCTGTGTTACCTGTCACACTCTGGATCTATGCAACAAGCACTGCCAAATCCACCACTAAACTCTGTGCCTTGAGTGCCACATCCACACATCTTTCCAATATCTCCAGGGATGGTGACTCAGTCACTTCTCTAACACCCTGTTCCCATGACTGATGATCCTTTCATTGAAAACATCATTCCTAATATCCAATACAAACCTCACCTGGTGAATCTTGAGGCCATTTCCTCTTTTTCTACCATTTCCTTCTTGGGAGAAGTGACAGACCCCAGCCTGGCTGCAATCTCCCTTCAGGGAGTTGTAAGGACTGGTTGAGAAGCTTAAAAACCCATGCAAGCCTTATACATGATTTCTGCAACCACTGTTTCAGAGAACACTCAGAGTGCATCACTTTCCACAATTCAGAGCAATTATAATCTTTAATTCATCTCAATTCTGTCTACAGGAGACAATTCTGGGTGAGGACTGGCCAGTGGAGGGATGTGGTGTCTGTGCTTGGAGAAAATAGAATCCAAGGACTCGTGGGCTGCTTCCCCCAGTCCTGCTCAGGAGGGAGAAAATAATTCTGCTGCACCTGGGCATCCCTGGGGCTCTCATGGGCTGGGACAATCGACAGCTCCAAGCACCATCACCAGCAG